CGATGATGGTCGAGCACAGATCTCGAAACAACGTTGATACGATCGATCATTGAATAATGATCGACTATCAACAAAAATTTCGGACGCAACTAGCGGAAACTGAGCTGAGCTCTGCGCTAGCGTCCTGTGAGAAACACCAAGGTAGTAGCTCTCAGATTTTGGATGCAAATAGCGGTAACTGAGCCGAGCTCTGCGCAAAAGCATCCTGCGAAAAACTTTCTCGAAATTCAGATACAAATGGCGGTAACTGAGTCGAGCTCTGCGCTAAAGCATCCTGCGAAAAATTCTTTTCCGAATTTCAGATGCAAATGGCAGTAACTGAGCTGAGCATCTGCGCTAAAGCATCCCGCGGAAAATTTTTTGTACGAACTCTTAGGTATAGAATTTCTAATTAGGTAGGATTTTAAAACTTCTTATTACTTCTATATTGTATTTTTTTTTTTAATTTTTTGCTGTCGATAAACTTTGGAACTTCTGCTTTGGCAGTTAGTTTGTAGTTTATTGATGACAAAAATAATGATAAAACTTCGGGTGGGCAAACAGCAAGATTCTCTTTCAAAAAGAACGAAAGATGTTTCTTGCGTAAATTATGAAAAAGTTTGAACGTTTAGACGTTTAAATGTTTAGATTAATAAATTTCACTAATAAAATATTACTACTTTTTGAATTATAAGAGATACTTTTGATTATAAATAAAAAATCGTATTGTTCAGTTCTTTTTAACTAAAGTATTTTGCATTATACATAAAACTTTTGAACGTTTAAATGATTTTATTGACATATTATTGACATATTGGCATATTATTTTCATTTTGTATTATCTTGTATATTATTTCGATGGAATACAGGATAATATATTAAGAAAAATTGTAATAAGCTAAATGTCCCAATGGCCTGGGATATGTCTCAATCTACCGAAAATATATGAACAAATAATTTTTTAATATTTATAAATATAATGTCCGGAAACTGTGGTAAATTTACATATCCAATTATTTTTGCAAATATTTAATATTGTCGTTTAATAAATGCAAATTTTGGTTTTAAATTTTAGCGAAGTAAATTTTAATCTTTATTATATAATATTAAAAATATTATTTTCATAGAAAACATCACATCTTTAATAATAATTAATTCTTAAATATATTGCCACTGGAACATTTCTCTTAAATATTGTAAACTTGTAAAAATCTTTTTCTTATTTGTACAAAATATTTTATTAATATATTGTATATTATATTGTATATTATATATTATATTGTCTTACGAAAAACGGCAGTGTGGCCCCTCTCAGGTTTCTCTTTGGTAATATACATATATTCTTCAACTGTATTTAGTTGTACTTTTTACACATTTATACATTTCTTTTGCTCTATAAACTATGAAAGGACATTAAAAGTATAGTAAACACTTGAAAGAAATATTGATTATTTTGCTACACATCGACATATGAATTTATTGTCGATAAAAATACATAAATATTATATTATTATTTTTATTAATCAAACATTGGTTTTATTTATTTTTTTACTTTTTTTAACATGCACATGTTTCTTTACTATTCTATCTTAAAACTGGCTAAGCTTTTTTCTAGATTAAAAGCAATATCGTCTCTAACTAACTAATTTTTTCACTAATATTTTTCCACTATTAGATGATATATTTCTATATCACTGGCGCATAGAATATAGGACAGTGAAATAAGATACCGAGGCGCTTGCCATCTATAACAAAAAATATATTTCTTTTTTACTTTATTTTAAATGTATACTCCTTTGAATATATTTTGATAATTTATGACGTTTTTTACCGTGGCAGCGCTTTCCAAAGATCCTATAAACAAGCCACCGATAGTCATATTGAAAGTTTTAGTGCCTCTTTGCAGCAGGAACAGTATCATTTTCTGTATATGTAAGGGAGCCATATACCAATTGACATTATACCTAGCCAATAATAATTAGTTGATAATTACGGAAGAAGGTAAAAAGGTGTATAAACAATTTTACCAAATGTACAATTTTTACGAAGATATTGGATAAAAATTTACGTTTTGTAAAACATAATTAGCTTTTGTTATCAACTCCGCAAAGTGAATATTTGTATATGACATTATAAAATGATGATTCTCTTACACAGTTATAAATACGTTGTCATTATGATCGATGATGTCTTGTGCCGCATAGTGTGCTAGGAACATGGATATAAAAAGTGCTATTACACCTGTAAAGTGTAGCCAAAGTTCTGGGATATTATCTACATGCGATACAACCTGAAAACCCATATAATTTCTATAAAACACAAGTTATTAAAAAATATTATAAGATATTCTACTTTTTTACGTCCTCGTGTTTGTTGTAGATACTTTTTATATATTGCAATCAATTATTTCGTATATGGTGCGATATATTCTGGACACGTCGTTAGAAATATGTTTCGAAATGCAAAACTCACTCCATAAAGACTGAGACTCAAACAAGATACTGCAGTAAAGATTAAAAGAAAGAACATTCCTTTAAAGGTGGATACTAAAGAGTCGCAAAATCTAAAAAAACAAATGTTATCAGACTATCTTATGTGAATATTATTAAAATATCAATCTAAATACCAACTCCATAGCTTTGCGATGAATGTCTACGGCATTACTTATTTTCTTACTTATCATAATATTTTTTCTGAAGGTAGAATTTCTCAGCATATTGCTCATCATTGCTTGCTCAATACGATAACTGTAAATAATTTTTATGTTATAGTTTTCTTAAATTTGGTTGAATTGACAATACATTTTATTATTTCTATACACTTTAATAAAAAAAAATTGACGTATTCCGATAAAATAACTTTAGATGTCTGTCACAATTAGTTCTACAAAATATTATTTTTTTTTTAACATTTAAGATACATTTCTTAAATAAATGATTAGTCTTAAATAAATCATTGTACGTCGATTTTTTTTTTATATAATAAATAGTGTGTATTTGTTTCTTTACCTAGCAATGCTAAACATTCCACAAACATATTTAATATATCCTAACAGCATTGATCCTATACCTGCTGTTGCAATTGTTCCTATACAAATAGCTGCATTCATGTGTAACACAATGAAATAAAAATACTTCTCTTCATCAACAAAATATTCAGTCATGAATTGGATTGTATGGCGACGAGATTCGTTCATAGGCAGAATAATATCGAGAATATTTGGCAATATTGGTAGGAAAATAACAATAAGCGTAATGCATGTTATTAACACTAAGCACATTTAAAAAAATGTCATATATAAATCGCTATTTTTTAATTTTATGAAATATTAATCTATTATTTATTTTCAATTTATTAATTTTTTGTACTACTTTTCTATCAAATATTTTTGTAGAAATCCAGCTAAATTTTTGAATGTATTTTTGAATGTATTAAATGTATTAATTTACATCTCAAAATAATGTTAATTAATATTTATTTTTGTGATGTATTATAATTTTTGCATTTGATATATTGAAGTTTTAATCCACTTCCGTTTAATGAAAAGTGTGAGTGCCACGCTCTTTCAAAAATCAATAATTACTATAGCCGTAAATACTATTACCTTCTTATACTTTGACAAAATAACAAAACGCTTAATTATTATTTTTTATTTTCCTTTGATTTGCAATTTATTAAACCTTGCAATGTATAATAAGAGCCAATAGATATTGCCTTACATGTAAGTTGAGCTGCATTACGTTTCGTGTCGTTCCCGTACATTTTTATAATAGCAATTTCGTTCTCGTCTTTTAGTTCATTAAAAATGCGTTGGAGTTGTTCAAATAAACATTTTACCTGTCGTGTCGAAAATATTTGCTATTTTTCGTAAAACTTGATAAAGTTTATTAAATATAAAAGTAAATATATCGTGGACGTTCATTTGGACAAGTGTAGCAAATATCAGCTTACTGTTTGAATATTGATCCAAAATGAGTTGTATAAAATTAACAAAATACAACAGAATATAGAACAAGAGGCAACTTTAATAACAAGTTCAACAGTGCATTTTGTGGTTAAAAATGTTGTAAGCTGTAAAAAATAGATAAATTTATTAACAGAATCGTATTAAAAAGGATCTTTATATTTTATTAATAAATTTGAAAAATAATATAATAAAACTAATTATAATTATATTTATAACGTAACGTATTAGTAATTAAATTATATGTTATATTATCAATAATCAAAAATATTATAATTACACTCAAATATTTAAATTTAAATATGTAGAAACTTATTATATATATATAATAGTTAGATATAGATAGAGATATACCTGAAATACAATAAAACTCATCATAACACTATAAAGCAAAATGAACTGAACTTTAACGATTTTTGATTGCTGATAAGGCCATAAGCCAATAATGAGCATAAGAACTCGAGTAGTGTCCAAATGTTTCTGAATAGAAATCATATTTCTGAGAGCGCTGAGATGCATTTGACTACGAAAAAATTGGCGAAGTTTCGCGTACTTCTTTTTGTACGATCAACAGAATATGCCATAATTTCCGTCTAACACTCTGAATTCTTATATAAATAACTTAATCTAGCATAAACGCAACGCAAAATGTATAAATTAGCGTGGGGTTACTATAAGTTGAAATACTCGCAATTTAGTATATATTTTTTTTCAAGAAGGAATCCATTAAATAATCGATATGATGTTGGAAAAATTCGAGAGATATTTTCTATACATTTATGTAATAACTTCTTAATAAAAGTTCACGCAAGCGTAGTCGCGTAGCTTTTCCATCGCTACGGTTTCGCGTGCTTCATTCTAACGTGTGCATTCGTGGGATACGTTTGTACGTACTTTCAGAGAAGCAATCGGTCAGTCTTATGTGCTGGTATATCAACCGTAAAAATAGTGCTGGTAATGTACAAGATTTTATAAATTGTAATGTAAAAAGTACTTTGATAAATCATATATTTATTTTTAAATGGATAAATTTATTCATTACGTTGAGAGTTGCAATAAATAGATTTCCTAGTAAACGAGAAATTATTGAAAGTTCAGAAATAGGATTGAAAATTATTTTAAAGAATTAAATAAAATTCAGCATTATCGTAAATAAATTCTTTTCAGTAATTTTTAATCCCATTTCTGAACTTTCAATAATTTCTCGTTTACTATGTTATATGCATAAAAGGGTTATTATTGTCTATTTCTATTGATATGCGAAATGTATCAAAAGTTCATCAACATGTGAAAAAATAATAATTTAATAATACTATTTCCGATTTTAATTACATTTTAACTTCTTAACGTGAACGTTTTTATAAGTATATTGATTTTTGTAATTTGGACGACTTAGCGTTAAATTAATTTTATCAATAAGTAAAATACAGTGAATATTTTGAGATAAATGCGTTTTTCAGATGCATTGCATGCAAAAGATAAACTGATATTTATTATCAAAATGTAAAGAACATATAATGTTAAAAATTGTAAAATTAATATTATTAGCATGTATTATTTACTTTATGCAAGTTTTATAAGAGCCACATTCCATAATAAATATTTTACGGTCAATATAGTGATGCTATACGTATATATGTATATACGTGAATTGACTATTTTTTCGTTTTTTCTTTCTTCCTCTTTCTTCCTCTTTGTTTATATGTTGTTGGCAGAAATTAAAAAGAAAAAACATATCCTCAATGATTTAATATTCAATAGTTAATTAGAGACGAAGATGCCGAGCATTTGTTTTTACACTTACCTACTCTATTCTAGTACTTTATTAGACGATTATGTCTCTTCATATCATTGCTGCGTAGAATACATCATGGTGAAATAAGATATCGATGTACTCGTTAGCTGCAACGAAATATTTTTTTTTATGTTGTCTGTGCAATATTATTTGCATTTTGATAAATAATAGTATACGATTTTTACCGAGGCAAAGCATCTTAAGGATGCTACAAACAATCCGCCAACATTCAGGCTGAAAGTTTTGCTACCCCTTTGTAAGAGAAATAGTATCAACTTCTGTATATTCAAAGGAGCTATATACCATTGAACGTTATATCTACAAACGAATCCATATATAATTTAAGAAGTAAAAAATTATACAGATAATCTCTGATATGTTCGTGGAATCAATAATGCACAATTTAAAATTTACTAATTATGTTGAAATTTATTAATTATTAATATTATTATTAATTATTAATATTATTATTAATTATTTATTAATTATATAAAAAATGTTTCTTACGCGGCGGAAAATACGTCATTATTATGATCCGTGATTTCTTGTCCTGCATAGTTGGCTAAGAACATGTATAAAATAATGATACCTATAACCACAGAGTGTAATAAAAATTCATCTATATCAATATTAAGCGTCATAATTTGGAATATCTAAAATATTATAATCAATATATATTAAAATTGTTTATTTTATATAAACAAATTATATTTCAAAAAAATTAAAGACAAGAAATACAAAAGAAACAAAAAATTATATGTGTTAAAAAGAAACAAAAAACTTTATATATTAAAATTTTTATTATTTTTTGTATAGTTTATATTTCGATGTAAGATTCAAAGTGTCAATTTTTATAGCTTTTATTGCTTTTTTATTATATGTGCCCAGATTTACAAATTATTTTCATTATTAGATAAATATTATTAAACTCACTCGGACAAAATTGAGACTCAGGCAAGATACACTAACAGCTATCAGAAAGAAGAAGGAACCTTCAAAGTTGCTTATTAAACATTCAGCAAATCTTAAAGAATATGAAAGTCATTACACAGGTGTTACATCGATAATATCGATGAAAAGTATTGTAACTGCATTTTTGATTAAAATAATTTTTCAACGCTATTTTATCAATATTGTACACGTATGAAAAAACATATTGTAGCTTAAATCCATTCAGTGTATTTATTTAAAAATTTGTTTTTTACCATTCTAATTAATAAGCAATAGGATTTAGAAAAAAACTGTATGTAATAAAAACTAAATTTGCTATCATGTACATAATTTTCGCATAAAGTTAATAACACTTTGCTGTGTTACAATACTTTTAACTTGGTACTGTCGATGCATTATACACATGATATCTTGTAGGTATTTACTTCATAGCTTTACGATGAATGTCTATGGCACATATTATTTCCTTATAAATTAGAGTGTCATTCTGCTGACATTTTTGTAAAATATTAATTGTCATTGCCTGCTTGATACGATAACTATAAATAATATAATTTTGCTATAATTATACAATCTTTTTCTCTTTCATTTATGAATACAAACTAAATTTGACTTACAGTGTAAATATTCCTTATTTGTTTTTTTATTCTTACATTCATTTTTTTACCTGGCAATTCTGAACATTCCACAAGCATGTTTAAGATATACTATGAGCATCGTTCCCGTAGCTATCAATGCAGTCACTCCTATGAAAAAAGCTGCATTCATGTGCAATAGAATTAAATAGAAATATTTTTCTTGATCAACAAAATACTCAGTTAGGATCTTCACCGTGTGTTGTGAGTGAGATTCATTTATAGGCTGAAGAAAAACGAAAATGCGTAACCATATTGGCATGAAAATAATGATTAATCCACCGAATGTTGCAATCACTACGTTAAAAAAGTTATATAAATTATTAGAGATAGTAATCTACTTTTTTTTGTGTAACAAAAATCAATCAAATTTGTCTTACGTATAATCCGAGTTGTATAACGTTTTGCATAATATTCATATTTTTTTATAATGGCAATTTCGTTCTCATCTTTTAGTTCGTTATAAGTCCGTTGAAGTTGTCCCAATAAATATTTTACCTATCGTGTTAACAGTGTTTTTTTTCACAACGCTTTTTGTTGTGAAATTTAAAGATTTCATTATGCAAAGACATTTATTTACAACCGATATTTATTTGAACACGTATTTAAAGATTTAACTTACAGTTCGAGTATTAACGCAAAATGAGATGTATTTAATCATGAACATAACAAAAAGTAACATGGATGAGAAAATTTGAATGGCAATTTCAATAGTGTAACCTGCAGTTATAAATTTTGTAAACTGCAAGTAAAAAATGTATTGAAAAAAACGTATATAGATATTACTTTTGTATGCAAGTACAAAATTTTGAGTCTACAATAATTAATATTATTTCGCTATAAATAACATATTAGTGAGAAGAATTTTATATA